TTTTTTAAAATATAAACTGCCAGCAGCAGCTAAATGCCAAAGCTAAAAGCAGCATGAATCTAGTCAATGTACATATATATATATTTATTTAGTTATTTATACATATATACTGGACATATGCCTGCCGCATGCCACGCTAATTCATGTCTTTCAGCCCGCATTGTGCAGCTCGCAGCTGCAGCTCGGTCGGTGCCCCAAAAAGCATGCTACATTATTTAATTGGGCTGCTGATGCAGCTCAAGTTTTGGCCGTTTGACAGCAACTAAACAATTATGCATTAGAAAGTGCAGCTCTTTGCTGTTGCTGCTGTTGTCGGAGCTGCTGTCGTTTAAATATTTGACAAACTGTTGTCGCTGTCGCTGTCGCTGTCGACGGTGACGTCGACGTCAGCATTCGGCAGCGAACTTGTTTGCCTGCTCTCAAGTCACAGAGACACTGCGACGCCGACAGACGTCTGTGCTCAACTTGTCGCAAAAATATGCAGATCCATGGTGTGGCTCAGCGTGAGAGCGAAAGGGAGAGCAAGCGTAGAGCGGGATGGCCAGAGTTCTTGTTTAAGTTGTTTCAATTTTATGGCTCTTTAAGAACTTGAACAACTGTTATTTTCTTTATCTGAGCAGCTTTCGCTCTCTCCTGCACCCACTCTCTCTCTCTCTTTCTCTCTGTCTGTCTGTCTAATATATATTTTTGGTTACATTTTAATGGAGCTTGGCGACGTTTACATGCCCGTCGAGCTCTCGTCGTCCGCTGGCCATGTAAATTGAAAATTTCGATGCATATTTCGTGTCGAGCTTTGCTTTAGCTTTGCTTTGCTCACTCCCCCTTCTCTCTCTCTCTCTCTCTTTCTCTCTTTCACTGTCTGGCTTGAGTCAATGCCACGGATTTGTCCCTGCTGGCGAACCGCTTGCCCGCTGCACTTCATTGAGTTACAACTAGTTAAAAGATTTTGTATTCCTGGCTGCGGCCAGGGCCAGGCCATGTCGGCTTCGACTTGGACTTCGCCCTCGGCTTCGACTTTGGCTTTGGCTTTGGCGTTGGCGTCGCGCTTTATTGAAAAA